TCCATTTTATTTGATTTTATTTTGTCATGTGCTCACAGCATTTCTCTTTCTCTCCTCTCCCTGGCAGGTCACAGAGATAAATTAAAAATAAAATCTACAAGGAAAATAATTTATAAAAAGCACACCCAGGCTCACACTTTCTATCTCTAGTCTCGGTTAGGAAAGCCCTCCTTTGCACAGGAGGAGAATCAGTGCTTCCCCGACTCACCCCTGCTAGTTAGGGGGCAGACAGTACTCCAGAGCTGACCAGGATAGGGGGTAGGGGCTCGGCAGTGGCAAAGTTACCAAAAAGAAAAAAGAAAAAAGGAAAGAAAGAAAGAAAAAAGACACTGGTCCTGGAACCATCTGGCTACCGTGGTGCTGCCCTTCACTCTCCCTCCCAGGGCTGTCCTTCAGGAGCCCAGGCTAAACAGGCTGTAAAGCAGCTTCCTGAAGCTGAAAGCCTAGGAGAGAAAAATCTCCAGCTCCTTTCATGCACTTCTCATTTTCCTAGAAAGAAACCCAAAAAAAGAAAACAAGACCTCGGGACAGAGGAGAAAAATCCCAAGTGTTACACAGTTACACGGAGTCTTTATGGCAAAGAGAACATTTAGCAGCTTTGAATATTGGGGCATCTCCTTTTTACTCAACACAAGCATCCTAGGCCCTATAAGTGAAACAGGGCACACGCCCTAAAAAAAAATCAAAGCGCAAGAGATTCTAAGAGGACTAGGTTTTGTTGCTGGGGTTAATAGGTTTTGTTTCCCCCAGTGACAAGCCCAGGTGTCGTAGGCAGAGGGCCCTGAGGGAAGAACCCATTCCCAATGTTGTGCTGAACAGGGCCTGGAGGTCAGAGCTGGCTTCCCCCTCCATAACATCACCTTGCTTCTGTTTAGCCCCTGCAGAGGAAGCTGTAGGCCAAGTTCCGGGTACTGCCAGATAGCACCCCACTCCAGAGAGCTATAGGCAGCTAGTGAGGGTGGGTACTACAAAAGGAGGAGAGTGGGAGGGGTACAGCATTTCCATGCAGGCTCTCGCGAGGACAGCAGGAGCCTCAGCTCTGGGGTGGCTAGAGAGGGAGGTGGCTGTGGCGGCAGTGAGTGACATGCTTGATGTTGGGGCTGCTGCAACACAGGCCTCACTATCACTTTTCTATACCCTCTGCCCCCCTCTGGCCTGAAAACAAGTCAGTGTTGGATCCCCTACAGCTTCCTGTTTCAGTAACTAAAACATTACAGGTGCCATCCAAGAGTTTCTTCCTCTTCAGGGATGACAGAGTTCAAGAAACAGTTAAAAGGCCCTTCCACAGCCCCACCACATCTGTTTCCATACCAGTGACTTTACTTAGGCCCACTGGAGTCACTAACACTCACTGCATAGAATGCCGGCCAAGGCCCCTACCGGTCCCTCTGATTTTTCTGACTGCTCTGATTTTAGGGAATTTCCTCCTTTTTTCCTTCCAGGAATGAGACGTTCCACTACTTTATCTGTTCTCCCAAGTCCTCCTTTCCCCTCTTGTCAGCCTTCACACAGCCTCCTCTACCTTCAGCATGCCAACATCACCCTTCCCTCAGGAGAAAGAAGGGAGGTAGGCTGGGGACCCCAATCACTCAAACAGTCTGGTCATTTCCACCCACACCCAGTGGGGAAGCTAAGCCAGACAGCGCCTGCGCCCGCCTCTTCTGTGCACTGACCCGCAGTCATCCCATCTGAGAAGATATATTGGATAAGAAGGCATTTAAGTCCCCAATGTTAGGTCCAGGCCCAGCCCTTCTCCAGTTTCGGTCTTAGTGAGCGTCCACCCCCTGCCTCCCCAGGCTCACTTCCTCCGGTCCTTTGGCTTTCTCTCCTGTCGCCGGGCCTGCTGGTCAGCCATCGTGCGACGGATGAGGAGGACACTGCCGTCCCCAGCATACTGAAGCGCATACTGGCTGGGCGAGTAGGGCCTCCCATTCTCATACCGCAGCCGCCCAAATACTTCTTGGTATAAGCTCTGGACCTTCTGTTTCATCTGTCGCAGTGACAGCAGGAACTCTACCTTTTCGCGGAGCAATCGGGCCTTGTCTCGCTGCAAGTCCTCCACATCACGTTCTAGGTTCAAGATGGTGTCCAGCTTGCGCTTGCGGCAGTTCTGTGCGGCCATCTTGTTCTTGCCCCGGCGCCGGATGTCCCGGATGAGGCTCAGCTGAGCCTAGCTCAGCTGGTATTTGGACAGCAGCTCATTGAATTCCTCTACAGGCAGGTTAATGATCTTGTCATTAGTGAACGGGATCTTCATGGCTCGGGCTCTGTGCTCATCTCGGCTCATCTGCTTGTCCAGGAAGTCAGCCTGCTTTTCCTTGCTACCTTTCTTGAGGGTGCTGGGTGGTGGTAGATCAGCAGAGTCAAGGGCACTGGGTGCCATATTGTACGTGTGATTGTGGCCCACATGCTCTAAGTAGGGAAGGCAAGAGAGCTGAGAAGGATCCTGGTAGCTCATGCGGCAGAACTTGGAGTATTCTGGCTGGTAGCCCACTGCACCCTCGGCCTCTTCTAGATCTAGGGTCTCAGAATCAGAGCTGTAACCAACAGCACCTTCCTCAGAAAAGGAAGAAGAGGCAGAGGAGGAAGCAGAAGAGGAGGAGG